TATATTCAGTAGTGGTTTGAGTTGATTAGAGAGCTCATAACCTGCACCCCTGGTGTTAGTGCTCCCGCCCAGAGTAAGGCACAGTCCTTCACGTGATGTTCACCTCCCGCACCACACGCTCAGCTTGGATCCAAGTTAGGTGCACAGTCCTGTCGTACAGACCACTTTAGGTGGTTCCGACTCGTAGGTGACCCGCGATTATTCGCACAGCCTTCACGTGATCGTAGCACTAGAGCGTATATATATGTTACACCCAGGCCTGTCGTACAGACCACTTTAGGTGGTTCCGACTCGTGGGCAGGTTCAGATATTGAGATTGAGATTTGAGCTCTAGATGCAGCCATACAAGTCACGTTAGGTGACTCCGGCTGCCATATTATATGATATTGACATGTTTTTACCTGGGCACTTGCATATTATGATGAGATTTCGGCATGGCATATTATCGAGCATGATTGACATACCTTTGAGCATGATTGTCATATTTATACATACGTATATATGTTTATTTTCTGGGAAGTATACAGGTTTTACGGCGAGGGGTTAGAATGTATTTTGCTAAATGGTTTTCAAAGAGCTTTGTTTTTGCCCACTCACGCTTTTGTTTTGCGCCCCTCCAGGTTCTAGTTGATTAGCAGTTCGGTGGTCTCCCAGAGGGCTTTTCCGGCGTTTCTGACAGATACTCACCAGCGTAGGGTCACCTTCGGTGTACTTGTGTCGCAACTATTCTTTTGGACTGCTTTAGACCTGCTCTGAATTTGTATTTCACTTACGCTAGCAATTGTTCTAGGACTTTGTATGCTAGTTTTTAATTTATTCGTACTTTTTACATTACTACTTTATTAGCTTCCGCACGTGCACATGGCTACGTCACCTTCGTGTGACGGCCAGCACGCCCTGATCTCGGTCGGGGTGTGTCACCTGTCCATCGGGCTAAAGCTTCCAGTGGAGTTGATCTAAAAAGAATTGGACCCTTTTCGGATACTCTTTGTAAGGATCATAGAAATCAAATCAACGTAGCCGTTCACTGCACATCTACAACCACAAATCATTTAAAATTTTAATTCTATCTCATGGCATAATAATTTATAACCGTAAAATGTGTAGTAAGCGATTATAATGACTTGATCTCTAGGATCCTCCCAACAAAGATTTAGAGGGATCCAAATCCGTAATAAAATGGGAAAAATAAAAGTCGCAGGCTAAAAACGTGGATACAATTTGAGCTAGTGGGGAAAACTCCTGACTCTGCATTTATCTGCCTTTATCTGCCTTAAACAAGCCAATCATGTCTTGCTTTTTCACTTTTATTTTTTCTGATTTATCTGTGGACCGCAGACTCAGACGCCACGTGTTCTTCCATTTCCAACTCATTCGTTTTATGGCTACACAAAATTACATTCTTAGTCCTTATAATTTGCTTCATTTTCTTTCAATTGAAGATTATAGTGGTGGCGCTGTGACATGGTTTTGGAGGAGTTGTGGGGGCTGCAGCATGGTGTTAGGGGTGGTGGGATCGTTAGTGGTGGCATGATGATGGTGGTGGCGACATGATGTTAGGGGTGGGGATTGGTGGTGGTGGTGACCACCGTGTCAATGCAGTGATAATAGAGTGGTGATGGTGACTATCATGTCAACATAACTAATCGTCACTACTGTCACCATGCACCTCCATACCCTTTGCAGCTCGAGTCACTAAATATGTTATCGGCGCCAACAAATCACAATTGAATTGAAGGCGAGAAAAATGCATTTGAAGGCAAAGAAATGTAAGATATAATGGTCAAGTGGTCTACCCCCTACAAAACGATGATGTACGTGTCGCACATGGACATGGATGATGGACCACACGTTTGGTTTCTCTTGTAATATCCACATCCACACCCTGACTCCAAACAAGGGCTAAAGCGTAGGCCTCTGCGTACACAATTGCAACATAAGTGATCGTCATGTATTCAAATGAAACGTATTTGTTTTGTTACATAGTGTGTCATTAGGGCAGGAAAAAACCTCTTCGTAAGTGTGAGAACAACTTACATGACAAATGTATAATGCCATGTGACATCTCGTGCTAATGAAACTAAGGATATGTGAAAAAAAACTTGCAAATATTTTATTTTATTGACATAGAACGTTAGCATAGTAGTGTACTCATTCCAAGTAAGTCCTCTGTAAGCAATGGCGAAGCCAGGAATTGTCAAGTGGAGGGGCGGAAGTTTGTGAGTCTTGGAGCTTTGCGCTTTGCGCTTTGCGCTTTGATTTTTCAAGTGCGAAGTACCCTTGTTGGACTAAGTGGAATCTTACGTGAACATTTGAACTTACTTCGTATTTGGTCTCCTTTCTTGCCATAATCTTATGGTATTCCTCACCACAAATGTGTGAGTTCAAGCATAATAGAATTTAGAATTAAAACAAAAAAACTTATGAAAAATAATGTTAAGGAGATCAACTCGCTCAAAAGCGAGTCCTAACGACTCACTTGACACTTGTAGTCCTTTGCTTCTTACCATTAACATTGTAGTTTTGGGCATACAAGAACTTTAAAAATATGTTAACTATCTGTATGCCTCTTCCTCCCTCATCCTCTCCATTACCCGAATTAGGAAGAACTCAGAAGCCAGAGAAAGAGCCTTTAAACTACCATTCACAACCTCACTTCCTTACCCAGATGCTTTTATCTTTCTTGACCGTCTCATTTTATATATTTTTTTTTGTTAGAAATTCTACAACTAAAATGGAATGTTAACTGTTAAAACTACAAAATAGAGTCTCATCTACAAAATTTGTAGAAGTTGGTCCTCCCATGGCAACCCATCCCTCATTCAATATCTCCTTACATGTAGCTGTGTGTACACTAGGGACGAGTTGTTCCCTACTATTTAGTTTTTTAATTTATTCTTTTTGAAACGAAACGACGTTGTTTACCCATTTTCATTTAAATTTTTCGTTTTTTTTTTCCTCAGCCAAAAGGATGTCGTTTGGTCTAGGTTTTTTGAAATAAAAAATAAAAAATTTGAACGTAGTAGTGCCGCTGCAGAAAACCAACATAGCACCTGAGCACCAGATCAGCAAGACCAGAGGAGAGAGGCAAAATCTTGAGTTGTAGGAAGGATCTCCCGCCCATATGGCTTTGCCAGTGTCTATAAGTAGCCCTAACTGACCGCTTAGTTGTCCGCCTAGAAATCTCTTCCCTTCCCTCCTCCCATAACTGATTTTTACGAGGGTAGAAGGCTCGCAATATAATGAGAGGTTGAAAATTGAAATTTGATAAACAATACCTGGACTGGTGCCTTCTTTTCTAATATTTCTCTTTGGGGTTGTTTGTCAAGGTTTTATTTTAGCAGCCAACTTTCAAATTATAAAGGGTTTTTATTTTAACGCGATATTTTAAACTAAGTTTTTATTTTAACGCAGTATTTTAAACTATTGTAATATGTGAAGAAGAGATTCGAAGTTCAACTTCAAAGTTCCGAGTACTTGTCTCAGAAAACTACGCTTAAGCTGTTTTCTTGTCGGTCTGGCTCTAAGGGAGCCTGAAGAGGCATTTTTCCTAGGCCCAGGCCTTTAAGAGAAAATAGAGACCCTAACCCATGCCTTTTTTTTCCTATTTAAAAAAGAAAAGAGAAGTCATTGTCCTTTTATTCCTTTGCATTTCTGCAGAGGCCCAAACATTTCTACCCAACTACCAAATTAAAAGGGCCTAACATTTTTTTAGGTAATAAAAGGCCCACCATTTTAACTTGAACCCAATTACTCAAATTATATTGTATTGTAACTATGTGCACCTACATGTATCTCATCTATTATTTGGTTTGAGTTGATGGCCCTATACATTCACAAATTGTCAGAAGTGGCTTGGTGAAGAAAACACGTCCCACTTGTTTTCAATTATATAAAGGAACACCATAGCTCACAAAGAAGACACAAGCAAAAGAAAAAAAACACGGAAGGAGGAAAACAGAGGAGAGAAAAGAAACGCTAGAGTGAACATGAGAAAATAGTTAGTTATCTTTGTACTCCTATAATTTATGATAATGAGAGTAATAACTATTGTTGTCCCGAGAATATAGGCACACTTGCCAAACCTCGTAAATATTGTCATATTTACTTTATATTCCACTACACACATATTGTCAATTTCACAATACGTGATCAACACAACAAGCTCTTGTGTGAGTAAAAAGCACAATGCCTTGAATATGGTGAAGCCGCACCTACCTTTCACCTCTAACGGCTAGAATCTCACAGATAAGAAAACCTTTTCATTTTGTTCTCATACCTCAGTATGACTAATTTGGTTAAAGCAAGTATATATATTGTTGTATGACTGTATATCATTATTTGCAAAGCAAAAAGGGTACAAACTTGAAATTCGCAAATTATCCGACAGTCGTGTTACGAGTGTTGAAACTCCAACTTCCTATGCTCAAGCAAAAACTTTTCCATCATAAAAGTTGTTCCTTATCCTCTCTCTCATAACATATCATCCTAGAAAACATCCAACGATGAATTCATTCCAGATCTTAGAAATACTTATAGACCTAAAAATTCGCATAAACACAATTGAAAAGCACTAAGGAAGCCCAAAGAAAAAAGCGATGGAAGAGATGACTATAGGAAAACATGAATTATATGTCGTCAGACATTCATCAAATAAATATAAAAATTCGTTACATTTGATTATATGTGACACATTTTCATCATCAATAGTTGCGTCACCTATGCAGAATCACATATAGTTTAGGTGACGAATTTCAAAACCGTCGCATATTTTCGGCAAATGTGACACCACATATGTCACCTAATACCTGTATGTGTGACAGATTAGGCACCTATTTCAAATGCAATGGTTGAGAATAAGTGACGCTAATAACGTCACCTATTCCCTTGATATGTGGCACAACTTATGTCACATGTCAAAACCAAATACTTATTAGGAACAATATGTGGCAAACTAATTACCATATATTCCCTATTTCGTAATCTAAAATTACAATTAATTACAAATATAAGGAATACTTCATTAATCAACAATTGAAGTACAGTCCAGCACATACACCAAGTGTATGTCCCAAAAGCTAACATAAATATCCCGACTTATTGAGGTGCTAACAAAAGAGGTCTACCATGTGCTTGTTTGAAACTAACAACAAAAGACATAATATAATAAGTCGTACATCCATATTATGGCCTTCCAATTTAACATAGGTATTGTTATCTTCTGAAACATCATCATTGATACCTCTAAAGTTGCTAGACTTGCGCCCCTGACTTGTAGTCACAAAAACCTTCAATTGTGATGTTAGAACTTCGTTCTCCTTTGTCAAATCCAATCGCACTCTCAACTTTTCACTCTCCTTTTGCAATTAGAGGAAACCAATTGACAGAAGCTTAATCTAATCTCTAACTCCTCATCTTCTTTTTCTTCACCTTATCCTTATATGATAAAATAAAAACACATGAGCACATCACACGAAAACAAAAACAACTATATTCAATAAAAGAAGTTGCAACATTCATAATTCAGTGCCTCCAGCATTGTCAATTAACAAAGTTGCAATAAAACATGCAGTTATTGTTGTGTGTTTATCCTGACAATATCAGGCACATTGGTGCACTGAGAAAGAAATACCTAGCTCTAGACTAGCAAGGTAGCTTTACAAACTTGTAGTCATATAATAACTCATGCAAAGTGGTCTCTAACTTAAATAGGGAAGAATTGTATAGAATACATACAAAAAGGATTCTCTGTACACCAAAATAAGGCGATTCTGACAAAGAATTCAGGTTTATCCATGACTTCAATACTAGTATTGAGTTGCACATTTTGACATCTGTTAAAGAGTTTGACATATCAAACTTTCGAATAAGCCTAAATTGTTCAGATAGATTGATTAAATTATTCACAAAAAAGGAAAAAAAAATCATTAAATTGCAAACACCCATTAACAAGCCTTCAAACTGCAGATAACTCTAGAGTTTTTGTATGATCTAAACAGAGAGAAAGCACATACACACACACATTACACACAAACACACTACACACACATACATAGATTACACACACACACACACACATATTACATTCTGGGGCCATCGCCCTGCTTAATGCCTAGACGTTTGAAAATTAAGAAAGGGTGCATAAGCCTGCTGAAGCGCCCACTTAGCACACCTGGACCCGCCTAAGAAACCGCCTAGGTCGCAACTCACTTGGACAAAAAATAGATAACTTTCATATTGCATTTTATTTTTTTTCAACAAATTATAAGAGACTTGTTAAATACTTAAATGAACACACATTATATGCTTGTTCCTCATGTTTTCATTATGTTTCTGTAAACACGAAAAATTCCTGCAACAAGAAACAAGAATACCGTGTACAAAATATATTTTCGTGTTAATGATTTTGGGGTTACAATCTCTTTGTAATTTGATCCTCTGATTCTATCTTCGTAGGGTGTAGGCTTGTGGATGAGCTGTTGATCCAAAGGGCCGTCGGGACTTGGTCTAAGGATGAACAGTTGATGAACGGATCTTCAAGGGGCGTTGGGCTTGATCTTGAAGAATGGGTGTATGGGTTTGTGGATGAGCTGTTGATCCAAAGGGCCATCGGGGCTTGATCTAAGGATGAACAGTTGATGAACGGATCTTCGAGGGCTTTTGGGCTTGATCTTGAAGGTTGATGGATGAGCGGATCTTCAAGGGCTTTTGGGCTTAATCTTGAAGAACGATTGGATGTGTGGATTTGTTGAGGTTGTTGATCCAAAGGGCCGTTGGGGCTTGATCTTAGGATGAACGGATGATGAATGATGAACACTTCTCTTCAGATTTGACGAAGAACGAAGATAGCTTTCTTGGTCCTTCGAGATTTGCTTGAGAGCTTTAGAGTTTCAAAGCTTCAAAGTTTTGGTGTAATGTAAATTTCCTTCTTTCTTTTTTTTTTTTCTTTTCAAAATGAATGCCTTGGCTTCCTATTTATAGAATTCCAAAACTTGATTTTTGGATATAAATAATCAGATGAAATAAATCATTTCTGCCAGGTATTGACACGTGTCCTATTTGATGACTTTTCCAATTTATTTCGATTTTTCGTTGAGTCACACGCTACATGTAAAATTTATGTGACGCGTGAGCGTTGAAATTTTAATTATTAGTCAACATTCATTTCACCGAAATTTCGATGTCTACAAATGCCCCCACTTCGAGGCGCGTCGTAGACATGTGCTTGTCACGTGTAGAAGATGCATTTTGAAGTCCCTTAATGTAGATGTCAACCCAAGGGCAGTCGGGGCTTGATCTTGAATTGGGCTGGAAATTTCTTCAAGGGCCATCGAGGCTTGATCTTGAGTTCGACTGGAAGATTTTTTGGTTTCCTCCAATCGTTGATTTTCCACAGGCTTAATCTTGAACTGGGCTGGAGGATTCTTTTGGTTTCCTCCAATCGTTGATTTTCCTTTGTGCTACTCTTGAACTGGGCAGCAGGATTCTTTTGGTCTCCCCCGAAGGTCTGAGCTTACTCCTTTTTTCTGTTTCTTTGTTCAATCTTTCCAATTCGTATTGAAGAGGGTTAGAGGATAGCTCAGCATATGCAGTTGTTGCTTATCTCCACATGCTTCAATGTATCATTTTCACTTGCCTTACTTGCTCCCCTTTGCAGAAGTGGTCCCTTCTCTGGAAGTGTATCAACCGTTGAAGATGACTACTCGAGAGCAACGCTAGGTATGCAACCAGGGAATAGATTCCAGGCAGTCGGTTCCAGATCGGAAGACTGACTCCAAGTGCCGGCTGATTGCTTCTTTCACTTTGCCATGCGAGTAAGAACAAGGACAAAGAAAAAGACAGGGAAAGAGCATGATATGAGATACTTTTGCTTTTGACCTTGATGATATGAGATACCTTTGCTTTTGAAGAAACGGTGAATGAATCAGCACATGCTTCAATCTATCGTTTCCTTCTGGGTCATCTGTACTCCAGGCATCTGGTATCATCTTTGGGGAAGAAGAAAAAATTGAGTATTTCGAAAGGCTTTGCTGGGAGTGCGCCCTCAGAGGTGAGGAAGAGTTGGGCATTTTCTTCAGGTCTGCCTTGCCATAAAAGATGAAGGTCGACATATATAGGGATTTCCCAATAGCCAGTGGTGGTACTGTTCTTTTACCTTTGTCGACAAACGTCTCTTCGATTTCTGAGCGAGCGCCTCTTCGAAAAAGTAGTCACGGGTGCGGCTCTGTCACCACGCTTATTGGCAAAGGCGCGTAGTTGGGATGATAACCTTCACGTGTTTTCAACTTTGTCAGAGATCTTTTGACAAAGTTGAACGCGTTATCTGAATAGCCGCGAAAGCGTCGCCGAACTTCACGCAGGAAAATCCGGTTTTTTGAATCGGTGGTCGTGTCGCCTTGGCTTTTTATAGAGGTATCGATCACCTCCAACATGCACACTTTGAAGATCGCCCGTTTGTGAAAATCGTCTTCGGCCCTTTCTGATTTTACTCCATCCACCTTTCTCTTTTAACCCTTTGACAATGGCTAACCCGTCTAACATTTGCTTAGATTTGAGTTTCAGCAGTGATCCGAGTGCGCTGCGTCAGGTAAATGTATGGTGCCCTTCTTTCTTATCTTCTAATGGCCCTTTGACAGGTGAAGATTCTGTGATGAAGGACGCAACAACAGCTACGATAGTAGCTAGGAACCTCCTCACTCCTAAAGATAGTATGCTGCTTTCAGGACGGTTCGATGAGTTGGCCGTTCAAGAGTCCCTGGCTCTCAGTGTTCAGTGTGCGGGCTCTGTGTCCAACATGGGCCAACGCCTACTTGCTCGCTCCCGTCAGGTTGAATCGTTGATGGCAGAGGTGGAAAATCTTAAGCAGGAGATCAAACAGCTTAAGTACGAGAATAGAAGTTTGCACGTGCTTGCCAACAACTATTCGACGGGCATGAAGAGGAAGCTTGATGAGCTGCAAGAATCTGAAGGTCGGATTCAAAGTGTGACCGTCAAAGGCTTGCTGCTTATCTCCAGAGGCACCTTTTTCCTGGGTCATCCAGCGTTCCACCAAGTATTGTGGCCTCGAATGATCTAGCTCTGATGCCTCCCGCTTCGATGCCTTCCGCTCCGAGAGTTTTGCCAAATAATGGGGCTTCACGTGAACATCCTTTGTGAAAGCTCCATCTTTTTTTTTTTTTTTTTTTTTTACGCACTTGTAATTTCTCGGAGATCAATGGACATGTTTTATTTTATTCAGTGTATTGTGCTAAATATAGATAAAACATATATATCACCAAGATTTTTTTTTTTTTCGGTGGCGCTGATCCACCAAAGTTTTTTTTTATTTTATTTTATTTTATTTTATTTTTTGCTTTCGGTGGCGCTGAGCCACCAAAGATTTTTTTTTATTTTTTATTTTTTTTATTTTTTGTTTAATATTTTTTTTTATTCTTTAGTTTTATCATTACTTCCCAACATCATCATTTCCTTTTACTTTATTTTATTATTTTTATTATTTTATTTTATTTTATTTTTTTGCTTTCGGTGGCACTGATCCACCAAAGATGTTTTTTTTTTATTTTTTTTTTATTTTTTTTATTTTTTTTATTCTTTACTTTCATCATTACTTCCCAACATCATCATTTCCTTTTACTTTATTTTATTATTTTTTATTCTACATCGTCATTTTTTTTTCTTTATAAGAAGGTTGAGGCTCAACCTATTCTACATCGTCATTTTTTTTTTCTTTATAAGAAGGTTGAGGCTGTCAAACCGACGAAGAACCCAGGAACGCATAAATTGGTGGTGTAGAAAGGGTGGTGTTGTGCAAAGATTGCAAAGGGATTTTGCTGTGTAATGCCTTTTGGTCACAGTCTTCCCCTGGTAGTGACGTTGCCGTGCCTCTTGCCGCTGCTTGGAGCTTGTTGCAGTGTGTCACTTTTACCGTGTGGGGTTATGCAAAAGACTGCAGCGAGTTTATGCTGTGTAGTGCCTTTTGATCATAATTTTCCTCGGTGGTGACGTTGTTGTGCCTCTTGCTGCTGCTTGCTGCACCGTCATCGCTGCACTGTTCGCTGCACACCATTGCATTGTCTGTTGTCCTGCTGTTCAAGTTTTGTGGCTGTTTTTTTTTTTTTTTTTTTTTTTTTTTTCAACATCATCATTGCTTCCTTTTTCCTTTTTTTTTTTTTTTTTCTTTTGACTTGCTAATAGTAGCATGCATCATTTTTTTTTCTTTCTGTATAATTGCTCTCGGTGGGCACCATCAATACTTTTCTTCTTTATTATTATTTTGTTTATTTATTTATTTATTTTATTTATTTATTTATTTTTATATATATATATATGGTGCTCTGCAAGGCTAGGTTTGTGGGTGAAAACCCAGGCCGAGTTCGAGAGAAGACGGAGGAGGAAGGGGTGTCCGTGCTGCTGAAGCTGATCGGTAGAAGGAGAGG